AAGCGTATCTTCGTATCGCTAATTACTCTTGCTAGCTGTAGTTTGCAGTTTCTTCCTCTTCTAAATCCAGATTGGTCCTCTTGAATTATTTTTCCTTTTTCCGCATACTTCATCAGTTTTCTGTAGATGATCTTCTCCAATATTTTTCCTAGTGTCTCCAGGAGAGATATTGATCTGTAGTTTTCTGGTCTTTTTCCGTCCTTCCTTGGTTTTAGTAGAGGGATGATCTGTGTATATTTCCAATTGTTCTGAAAAAGCGCTTTTTCTAGGCAAAATCTGAAAATGTTGTGTAGGTGCACTAGTATTTTCTTCGGTAGTTTCTTGAGTGTGATGTTGTGGATGTCTTCCTTTCCTGGTGCTCTGTTTCCTTATAGTCTTCTGATGATTTTAGCCACTTCTGTTGCATTTAGATGATTTTTTTACTCTATTAAAAATTCTTTCCTTCTTCTTATTCTTTCGTAGACGTTGTTGACTGCTTGTTTGGTTGCTTCGTCCGACAAATTTTGATTTTGCCTATGTGTTGCTATCATTCTTTTTGCGATTGCATCCACTTTTTGTTGAGTTTCCTAGTGTGTTCCTTCCTCGTCGATGACATTATCATCTTCTGTTTTTCTGTTTTGTGCTATTCTTGTATTTTACCATCTTCCATACTTCCATGGTTTTCTTCTACTTTCCTGATGTTGTTGTGCCATTTGCCCTCGGTGATGCTTCTGAGTTTTGTAAATATTCCTTCGGATAGTTCGTCTCCGTAGATCTTAAATTTCTGTCTTCTAGTCCTTTGAATTTCCTTTAGCTCGTTCGGAATAATTAGTCTTCTGTTGTTCGTCTTTTCCTTTGGTATAATATTTTCCATGGCTTACTAAATTCTTCTTGTGACTTCTTCTATTTTTCTTTCCACTTTTTCTGTTAATTCGAATTCCCTCTTCATTTCTATTTGATTTAGCTGTCGTCTGTAGTTTGTCCAGTTCGCATCTTTTCATTTCCATCTTTCTACCGGTTCGATCGTTGGGAGGTCAATTCTTGAAGTCATGATTCCCGTCACTGGTTTGTAGTCACAACTGCATTCCTAGTGTGTTCTGACATCTTCCATAATAACTTCTTTGATGACAAATATGTCCAAAATTGAGTCGTTTTGCCTTGGATTTAGGTTGATTCTTGTAGGTTTGTCTGGGGCGAATAGTGTCATTTTATGTTTTTTAAGCTGTTTATGGGACGCATTAGTGTAATATAAGTTTAATGTAGCGTAATATAGTGTCGACTAATAGAATTCTTAACTTCATTAATTCCTTTGCAATTTTTTGTCTGATTTTTTTGCTCGACTTACGTTATTTAGCTTCTATATGTGATCGAATTAAAAATTAAAAATATATATATCCCGTTTATAGCGTAATCCGCCTTTGGGTTCCCGTTCGCCAAGCCTGTCTATTCTGCCAGTCTTCTTCACATAGATTTCTTGCTGACATGGCTTTTGAAATTCCTTGCATCCATGTTGTTGGTGGTCGTCCTCGTTTTCTTTTCTCTGGTGGTACCCATTCTAATATTTTTTTTGGTAGTCTTTCTTCCCCCATACGTCTAACATGTCCGTACCATGTCAGTTGTTGTTTTTCGATGTCTTCTATAATTGATCTTTGTACATTCATTTGATTTCTTATGTCCTCATTTCTCACATGTTCTAATCGAGACTTTCCCGCTGCTCTCCTCCAAAAATCCATTTCAAAAATTAAAAATAATATGTTAATACTAAGTGAAACATCTATATAAAGCTTAATAGAATATAAAAATATCTAAAATTATATTTAACGTTTAGGTATTGTGGTATCTATACCACAATACATATACCTATAATTAAAACTGTTGAATTTATAGTCCTAAACCAATCCTGCACTTAATATTAGCTTCACACCGTATAGAATATATTACGTGTTCTAAGTTAAGTCAATAGCATTTGACCTTTTTACTAAATGCTAAAAAGATCTCTGATATCAATTCAAACGGTCGAGCAAGTAGACTCCTAAATTCATCAACTACAATGTTTTATCCCTATAATTTGCATATTTCGTTTTGAAAGCACTAGATAGCAGTCTGCGAAAACAAAGAAAAACAAGTGGTTGTTGCAAAAACGATCATTTAGTGCGATAACAAAAATTTTAATTTTTTATGGGTATCATAAATCCTGTCAAAAGTGCTTTAACCTGATATTGATAAAAATAGTAATAAATGGCTTGTGGTTAAAATATATTTGATTAATTATGGTCATATTTATACCTACACTTTAGGTTGATCGTAATATTTAATAATAGACTTAAAATAATTGGATAGACAAGGTCAACAGTCGATTTTGTCTTAAACCCTTAAGAGCTCGCTAGAATATTTTTTACACAAGTTGTCACTTGGCGTACTTTGTACAAAAGTAATGAGGTATTGAAGTTAAGACTCTACATTTCTTAAATACATAGGAATAAATAAACACATATTTTATGCAAAAAATATAATAAAGTATAAAATTCAAAAATAAAAAAGAATTCTTAGATGAACGTAGAAAGATACAAAACAGAAATCAATTTGAAGGACTTTCTGTTTGATTTTTATGATGTTGGCATTCTAAGGAAATATGTATGGTGATCAAATGCTCTTTACATGCTGGTTTACTGCGTCTTTGGCACTTTATTGTGCTTGCTCTATTTTTTTTTTTTTTTTTTTCGAGCGCACTGGGTATACCTTTCTGTTGTGTTTTCGGGTTCTTTTGGAGACTTATGCCTGGTTACACCAACATATCTTAAGCTTAAGGGCGAGCGCCCACCAAAGTGGCGTGGCAAGTAGCACGTAGCAAATAGCACGCGTCTAGCATGTTTCTTGAAATGTAACCAATGAAAACAATTGATTAGAATGAATGACGTCACTGTCATTTTGGTGTACGCTGAATCATTCGTTTTCATTGGTTACATTTTAAGAAACATGCTAGACGCGTGCTACTTGCCACTTGCCACGTGCCACGCCACTTTGGTGGTCGCTCTCACTTAGACGTGCCTTAGGTAGGCCTCAGCTCAGAGTGATCGACCGACCACGACCAAACCGTCCGACGGCGATCAATCAAATTTTGTATTTTTATTTTTAAGAATATAAAGAATATTTTAGAAACGAAAATTATGGTGCAACGTAAGTGAGAGTTAAGGCAGCCCTAGTTATAAGCAGAGCTTGGCTAAGCTGGAGCTTAAGATCTATTGGTGCAACCAGGCATCAGTCTCGGAACTCTCGTAGTAACTTTTGATGTCAATAGATAGGTTGGTGATATTTGCCCTCTGTTGCAAATGGACTTTACTGTTAAAGTAGACTTTCAAAAGTATGAATATGCAATCAATAATAAGGTAATAACTAGAACTTGACGGGTATTGCTCCCTTAAATTATCATAAAATTGTCACGACAGTTACTGGTGAGGGCTACAGGGTAAACTATGGTAAAAAACGCGCCAAGTACACTACCTCACAGGTGGCTTGAAAATGTGTGCATATCATGTATAATATGACTCTTAGACTCGTGATATCTCAGAAATGGTAACTCAGAAAAAAATATACAGACCAATTTTGTAGAGAATTTTAAGATCTACAACTTAAGTTTAAGGTTTTTTTTGATAAATCTTACAGTTTTCGATAAAAATCCAAAAAACCTCAAATTTTTATCTTTCACATCGAATAACTTTTGTAGCACACATACGGTTGATGGGGATTTTTAAAACTTTATTTGTAATCCCAGCTCTCCACCAATATTTGGCTTTCTGATAATTTTTGTTATTTTAAATGTCTAATGGCCGAAGAAAAATTGTTTATAAATTTAAAAAATTCGCTAGGCTATCCTAGTTGACGGATTTTAGTTTTTTTAAATGCATTCGAAAGCTTAAGCCTTTCTTCACGACTGCTTGAAGTACTTATTTTTGATCCAGCATAATTTTGCATTTTGTTTTTGATTCTGGATTACAAAATTATGATGAAAAAACTATTAAACCAATCCTAATGAAATTTACCTCACGTTTCAGCAATATTATAAAATTTTTTAGGCGGATTATGAAGACTATAAGTTATGTTTATATATATATATATATATATATATATATATATATATATATATATATATATATATATAAGGTTCTTGAACTCCTAAGTGGAGCATAGAGCTTCAGTGAAAAGGCGCCATCGGGTTCTATTTTGCGCTAAGGCCTTCACCTCATTCCAAGACTTTCCTTGTTTTCTTATCTCGTCCATGATGGATCTTCTCCAAGTTTGTACTGGGCGACCTTTTTTTCGTTTTCCTTAGGGAAAAGTTTTCCAACCCCACTTTCTGGACTTTATTTCATTTACTACCCTCTTTTGTTTGGTCAGGTGTAGTAAATCTTCGTTTCTAATGATGTTAGGCCAGAAAATACGAACAATTCTTCGTAGACATTTATTAACAAAGACCTGCAGTTTGTCTGTAAGGGTTTTTGTCGCTTTCCAGGTTTCACATCCGTAAATTAGTACAGACATGACATTTGATTGGAATATGCGGATCTTTGTCCTCGTAGTGTAGTCTCCAGACCTCCAAACAGGGTTGAGCATGCTTAAAGCTTGTTGCGTTTTTTAAGTTTTCAAGCTGAAAGTTATGTTTAGGGGTCTAAAAAATTTAAAGGATAAACTTCATTTTTTAATTTTTAAACAATAAACTTTAAATATCGTGATTATTGATATAAGATATATCGTGCAGTGATTGTAGCAAAAAATAGACTTCTATGGAACATAACCTTTATGGCCTGTTTTTCGACAGATCCCGCATGGACTATTAAGCTAAAGCTGAATCAAATCTAAAATATGTGACAATTATTTAGCCTTTTTATCTTTTTTAAAGTTTTATTTATTTTAATAATTATTTTTTAATGCAAGTTAACTTTTTTACTATTATTTATTGCTAATCACATTTTCTATTTGCAACAGATGTTGGAGAGTCAGCCAAAGAAGGAATATCCTCCGGAATGGACGCAGTTAAAGAAACAATGCATAATGCAGTAAACACGGCAGAACATGGTGTAGATACTGTTATGGGAAAAATCGGAGAAACTTTTGCCTTTGCCTCTTCCACAGCTTCAGAAGTAAAAGACGATTTAGAAACGAAAAAGGACGAATTAGTGACCAACGCTTCTGAGACTGCAACTGAAGCGGTGTCTGAAGCGGAAACAGTATTAGCGTCAGAAACGGAAAGTGCGAAAGATGCATTTACTTCAAAAATGTCGCCAGCATTCGAAACTGTAAGATCTGTAGGTAAGTAGATTATGTTCTTGCATTTATTTCTTTGATATTTTAGAATCATCTATTTAGTACTTGGAATACCATCCCTGACAACTATATAATGGGACAAACTAAAATACGCGTAAAATTCAGATAGTTGACACTTGTTTATTTTTATCATGTTTTTTTAATGAATTACTGTGGAAGTAGTTAATTACTTATAATATAGGTTCAATCAGTAATGTAAAACAAAGTTTGCACACAAAATGGTCTCTCTTAGGTTTCAACTGCCAAGCGAAGTAGCTATATCGGTGAATCATACGGTGAATATTTTTATACAAAAACCACGAGCAAATAAATGGTAAATCTGTCGAACAATTTTAAAATACACTCTTTATAATTGCAATACATTTTTACTGAGTAAGAAGTAGTTTATTTAAATCCATACAATAAAAAAACCACCGCTTAAATTCGCCAAAAATATACCAAAATTCGAAGGAATAATCGGAAATAAGTATACCTCATTACTTGTACCCAGCTGAAATAGTTATTCAGCTACACTTGGACGGTGTTAGAAAACCCCTTCTTATTCCACTTACTCCAACGTAACTTATTAATAATAAAAATGTTTATTTTTTTTTGGAACTAAATAATGGGACATATAACGAAATTTTTTTATTTCTGAAACGGCGTAGCACCGCCCTTGGACATTTACTCGACTAAGGATCTGTAAAAGATCCAAATTCATTAAAATGAGAAAGCTCTTAAGCAACCGCAACCTAAGCGTTAACCTCCGACGGCGCACCACGAAACGCTACGTACTCTCTAAGATACTTTACGGAGTAGAAGAGTGGACGTTAACAGCAGCAACTATAAAGAAGTTAGCGGCTCTAGAACATTTCCTGGTGTTAGCTTAGTGCCTTAGCCCAAACTTCAGAATATTCGTCCAAAGACTGTGCGTCTGATCGAGCCTTCAGGATTATTCATCCAAAAACGAAGAACCTCATCATCCCAAAACGGTTCGAAAGATTTAAAACAGACTTATCCATAGGCTGTAGTTCATGGGTTATATTGCTGCTTGGCAGACTTAACACCATCAAAAATCAACAAATACTTTTATCTCCAACTCGAAACTGTTGAAAATATTCGATCCACTTCACAAAAACATCGTGTGCCATACTTCCTTTAGGTATCATAACTACCTTGATTCCAGGAGGAAGATTTTCTTCCCATTCTGGTTTAAGCCTCTGGCCCTTATATAATATCATTGGTGGTACGTACTGACCACTAGCGTTGACACACTACACGATTGTCACGTTTTCAGCATGCTCTGGTGCTACTATATGCACTCTCTTTGTCCTTTTTTTCAACTTCTCAAAGTAATCAGTGACAATCACTTTGTTAAGTTTATCTGCTCTTGCTGAGTTTAAATTTTGTATTTTACACCTAGCCACATCAGGGTGGTGACCCAAAAATAGTCTCAACCACTTACGCCCAGCTTTTTGTTTCAATGGGTTAAAAGTATGTGAAATATTGTTTATCCTCACAGAAATAAAATACACTTCTTCCAATTACCTTGCTAGAAATAGGAATTCCAACGTCAGCAAGACGAAAGGTTCTTGAGCAAAGTTCAGTTTCTTGACCAGATGATAAAATCGTATTTCTACCTAATTTTCTAATTGATAAACCTGTTGTCATATGGTTTCATAAGGTCCTCCTAGGTATCCGGAATTCGTTTGAAGCCAGGTTGACAGACTTTCCATTTCCAACAGCATTCAAGGCCTGCTCCATTTGTTCTTCGGTCCATTCAGCTCGCTTTTTCTTAACTGCATTCGTCTCCATCTTGTCTAAAACATATGAACAAAAATTGTTAGTTCAATGCGATTCATCATACTTAGTAATAAGCTTTCATTTATAAATAGAGGGATAGTTCTATATAATCACATTTAAAGCATTTAAAATTTAATTAAGAGAATAAAATCTGTATTAAGCCTAATAAGACCTGGGCCCTGATTCTAATTGAGATTTCGACTGAAAACATGTTGAAATCAATATGGCGACGTCGAAATGCGACTTTGCGAGCCTAGTGGATTTCAGCTGAACTAACCAAAGGATGTCACTAAATTTCGATTTATCGAAATTAATTTCAACTTCAAGAAAGTGGTTGAAATTTAATTTCGAGTCGAAATTAATCTGACATGACTAGCGGGACTGGGAGAAGCGAGGTTAGGTTCAGTTTAGGCGGTGTTTTGTTGTGTGCAACGAAAACTGAGGCAAAAAGTATTAATATGGCTGCGTTTTATCAGAAATTGTATGTGATTCGGCACATAATTGGTCGAAATTTTAACACCTATAAAAATAGAACTGCGGTACCTACCTGGGGGCCCCAAGCCAGATGCTACTGATTATTTTTTAAAATATACTGTGGTGTAAAAATTAAAGAAATAAAATGTCCCAATATTAAAACTAAATTGGAAACCACAATTTTTGAATATATTCAACAGGCTGTAATGGAAGATAGAAATAATAAATAATTTGGTTGTAATAATTTATTTTAATTCTACACTCTTATTTGGAGATATAAAATAATCTTTAAACTCATCAAGAATTTTTAGAGCAGTAATGTATTGTTTTTAGTAATACCAATACTTCTTCTTCTTCTTCTTCTTCGTCTAGCCATTCACGTCCACATCTGAACATAAGCCTCTTCAAGTCTTCCTTTCCATTGGTTTTTATTGTACGCTACTTGTAGCCAATTTTTCCCGGCAGTCCTTTTCAGATCATCTGTCCATCTCATAGGAGGTCTGCCTCTAGGTCTTTTGTGTTGGTATGGTCTACAGGTTAAAATTGATCTGTGCCATTTGTTTAGATCGCTCCTAGCTACATGTCCAGCGTATTCCCATTTCAGCTTTAATGCTTTTTGAACCACATCGGTGACTTTGGTTTTCTGTCTTATCCATGTGTTTGTTTTCTTGTCCTTATATGTCCTTATTGTCTTGTCCATACCAATACTAAGCTGCAGTAAATTTAAAAATATAATATAACCACTAAGTCAAAAGCCATCATAATTTCTTTTTGGTCCACAGACAATTTAGTGCCACCATCACCAACAGCCTCCATCCATTTTCTTTCAATTCAAAATATAATCATTGAGAATGGCCACTAAAAATTTAACAATTCAAACAAGAAACAAAAATCGTAAAATGTAAACAAAACAAACATTTAACAAGCGTGCAGCCAATAAACAAGACGGCCAACCCAAATTCTGAGCAGTGTCAAAATGATAAAGTAAATAATGTCCCCACTTTTAACTAAAATCGAAATGAATGAGAATCGCTAGCGATTGCGACTGTCATGGCGTAGTCGCTTTTAAATTTCGACATCGAAATGAAATAGAATCAGGGCCCAGAGCTGGTTCTAATAAGACCAGACACTGGCCTTATTAGGGCACTCTTGTTTACCAATTGAATCTGTTACAATAACCACTACATACTTTATGTGTTTCAAAGACTCATATTATGATATTTTAATACAATTGACGCCATAGTCAAAAATGTATACCACTTAGCATTGTTGATGACAAATTTACTAGTTCGAAAATTAAAACTTACCTAAAATTATAACCTTCCATCTTGATCTGATGCAATGTGTAACTGAAATGACTGGTGCTGCATTTATATGTCCAGTGTGAGTACTTTTAGAAATAAAAGCTGTTGGCCTTATTAGGGCTATGTCGTTATTTGGGTCACCTACCTTATTATGTTTGAGCACTTGCTGAAACCAGGCAATATATTTTGAATAAACTACTTATATAATAATATGATTAGGGACTTTGACTTAGTTATCATTATCAACAGCTATTCGATATGTCGCCGCATGTAAGACTCCCTGTGTGTTCATGCATTGCTGTTCGTTGTGTTTTGCATCCAATCATGACCAGCCATTTGCTTGATGTCATCAGTATATCTGGTTTGAGATCTGCCTTTACTTCTATTATTTGCTCTCTGTCGCCATTAAATAATTCTCTTCTTTCAACCGTTGTCTTCCATATTTCCTATGTATTCTGCCCAGTTCCATTTTAATATGGAAATCTTTTAGATTACAACTGTTACTTTTGATCGTCTTATTCCTTCATTGAATTTGCAATCGATGAGCAGTCCATAGTTCTCTGAGTCACAAAGTTTGTGGACTATATTATTATTAAAAGCCCAAAGTTTTTGCTTTTAAAGTATTCTGTAAGTCTGATTACAGAAGGAACTAAGGATTACTAAGGAACATCTTTCTTTTAAATCAGCCTTTGGCGTAATATGATTCATAAAAAGTAAAATAATAGACTAGCTACTTTTATGTGAATTCAGATCAGTAAAACTAGTTGTTCCACGTCATTCTTATATTATTATTCTCTATTTTATTTCAAAAAATTCTTTTAATTCTGTAGTTTAATTCAAATATTTGTTCCAGGAGAAGAATTCAGTGAGAAAGCTGCAGAAATTCACGAAAATGGAATAGAATTAATCGATGATCTCGAAGAAAGTATGGATGATATGTTAGGAGATAACGTAAGCAAAATCGAGAAGAAAATGGAAGAAATTATGAAAACCTCACCTGCTGATTCTCCCGTTAAGGAAGTGGTAAAGGAGGAGTAAGTGGTCAGATGTGAGTGTTGAACCAATCGTGCTTTGTTCTCTAGTGTGAGTTTGTAGACATACGAAACTTACTTTGTTTTAAATATATTTTAAAATTCACAAAATGACACTAAAACAATATTTAATTAAACAAAGAACTATTTAACAAAATGACGGTATTAGATTTTGATTTGATACAGAGCAGCAACAAGCCGCATATACGTATTTCGATCTCTTTAGATCTCCTCAGTACGGTATAGTTACTACTCCATATCAAACCAAAATATTTTCCCGTCGTAAATTATAGTTATTAAAAATAACTATTTACGGACGTAACTACGCCATCTAAGAACAAAAAGAGAAATCATACGATTTCTACCAGGCGAAATCGAATTCAAATATAAGCCGCCGTGCTCCCTAAAACTTGCGAAGCAAACAGCTTGATGAATGCATCGGCAAGGGAGTCTAAAAATTGCACTCCAAATGCCGTTCATCATGGCCTATATTCGTAGTGAATTCGATTTCTGATACTCCAAATGAATTAAATAAACAAAACAAATGACGGTATTAGATTTTCATTTGATACAGAGCAGAAAGATACAAAGATACTATTTGTTAGATTTGATACAAAGAACTATTTGTTAATTTAACATATATTTAACGCATTTAACAGTATATTTTAAATTCTTTGTTTATCCCTGTGCAATTCTTGTTTATGTTTTTTACAATTGCGAGGATATAGTACCTGATTTTTTAGCATTTTAGACGGTACTAATCCCTTAATGTAAAAAAATAAGTATTTACTGTATAACCGAAGAATTTGACTACAGGGAACATTTATATGCAATCTGAGATCATTAGTAAAAGAAAAATATTACTCAATGCCACATGTACGCCAATTTCAACTAATGCACTTAGTCACTTTGAACAATTCCTTTAATTTATTTTTTTATTATCGAACTTTATTATTTGTTTCTTGCTTTTTTATTTGTCGATTTTTTATTAAATTGTTCTGTAAATTAAAAACGCCTTATTTGCAATAATTAAACATTTATTTAACATTAAAAAGTGAAAAATTTGTGAATGCCAATAAAGTATTGTGGTTCAACTGTACACTAAGTATTTTGATTAGAATATTACTCAGTTTTGTAAGTTTTAGCCTCTTGAAAGACTTTCTACCAAAAGGGAAAAAGATTTAAATAAGAAAGTGGTGGATTTAAATGAACTCAATCGTTGGATTTATGTGTATAATACATAAATGCATTCCAGAATACAGTATAAAATGTATGGTATGTCATTTAAAATCGAATATTATTCAATGTGATATGTAGGCCAAATTCAATTAAAATAATTAAACATCCTATGGGATGAGATGATAAAATTTAAATGTTATTGTTAATAATATTCGGGCTAGGTATATCGCTGATTTTTGGTAGTATGAACCACGGCATACTTGAATATAATTATTGTTAAAACTTACAAATTAGGAAATCTTTCAATATTTTAAAAATGATGGGAAATACGTATAGAAAACTTGAATGTAGATCGAAAACTAAGTAAATTTTCTAAATAACAGACTAATAAAATATAGGATATTTCATTTAAAATAAGTAAGGCAGAGTGGTCCACAGTAAGACGGTTTTTAGTGATTCGAGATTTTTTCACAACTTTTTGTATATATCATATATATATATAATATATATATATATATATATATATATATATATTGAAATCAAACAAATAATCCTGTAAATTGTCCTTTATTTTACAAAAATACACAACAGAAATAGATTTGAACTCGAAAACATAAGTGTAAAAAAATTCCTTTTGACGTTGCAAAGTGCCTCACTGTGTCCCACAATGGTCCACACTGACACACAGTGGTCCACAACGAGACATTGTTTATTGAACATTTAGTGGGCCAAAATTCACTTCGAACTGAACACAATTATTTTTCCTCTCTGTTTTTCCATAAAACACTGGTACAGGTAAGATCTTCACTATGTCTTGCGATAAAACGCTAGAAACTTCAGGAATGTTGGGATAAAAGAACTTGTTCGATTTAATTTTTTTTCTCAGATAATTGATCTCATATCTGAAATAATCGGAAAGGTTAGTTAGTAAATAGGACATAGTCATAAATGACTGCATTTCTATCCAGTTCTTCGAATCCTGTTATTGGAGCATCAAGTCATAGAATGGTCTGATTTTCACTTCGGTATCAGGGTTATTCCTTTGTTTTTTCACGTATCTGAAATAGAAAGATTATGTTCATTTAAAAATGAAATCTTACCCGACCGAAGACTAGAATGCTGTGAAACTATGTCCAATAAAAATAACCAACATCCCGATTACATAAAAACAATTTGTTTTAGTGACGAAAGTACGTTTTCTTTCAATAGAAATGGTAACACACACAATGTGAGGTATTGGAGTGACACAAATCCTCACGTCTTTCGTGAAACATAGTCAATTTCCAAAAAAAATAAATGTTTCGGTTTGTGGAAACCACATAGTTGGGCCTGTTTTTCTGAATACTAACTTAACCAGTGAAGTGTATCTGATGTTACAAATGCAATTGAGATTCAGCAGAATTCAGCAACTTGGAAATAACGTTTCAACAAGATAGTGCTTTTGCACACCATTATGGTGCAGTAATACGCTACTTAGATGAGGAATATCGTGGCAGATGGATCGACGACGAAGTACGATAGATGACCGGCTCGGTCACCGGATTTCACACCATTAGATTTTTTTCTCTGGGAATACTTGAAATCTTAAATTTACGCTACAGCACCCGACAATATTGACATTTTGAAACAACGAATTGTTGAAGAATGTAGGGCAATTTCCCCCGACACATTTGAACGAGTGCGGCAGGAGTTTAGAAATAGTATGCATTACTGTCAGGAAGTGGATGGAGCATATTTTGAATAGTTACTATAAGAAGTGGTTGTTTAATATTTATTAATTAAATGAGAAGCTACAATTTTAGTATTTATTATTTATTCATCAAAATCAGCTTAAACTCAAACAAAATTATTATGAGTTATAATTTAAGATTAGATAGGTATTTTCTATACCTTTCAAACGAGGTATCACTTGCCATAAGGTCCGATTTAAAATTATCTGTCACAGTGGCGCTGTAACGTCATCTGTCATTATTACGTCACCTGTTATGACTAGTTGAGAAGCCTACGTATGTTTATTACCTCCCTCCAAATTTCACTATTTTAACAATAACCGTTCATAAGATACGAGGGGGGAACGGACTTTTGACTTGCACTGTATATCATTGATATCATGTTGGGTTATGTTTTAAAAAATCATAATAATGTGTACTAAATGTATACTTTACTAATAATAATGTATCAATATACACATATACTATTTACATTAATAATAATTAATATATACTAAAATATATTTTCAACAAATTAAGTTATTTCTAGAGTAGACTGCACGATCTTTAGAAATGTTTTCACAATGTTCTAATTAAATGTTTAGTTTTTTATTACTACAGTAAAATTTATTTATTTTAAGTAAAAATGACTGCAGTAAAAAATGTTGTTAGAAACTAAGGTTTTAAAAATCATTTATTTTTAATATATTTGTCGTAGATAAAATATAGTATGCAACTCAGAATACATTTGTATTTAATAATTTCAATGGAAATGCTACGCATATACAGAATAATAGTGCAGTATAATAATGTACGTTCCGTGTATAGTAATATTCAATCTGAGAAGATTATATTGAGAATGTTTGTCGGTTTGGTCATACTGTAAGAATGGTATACATTCTACGATTAATTATGTTCTATTTCTAGTAAAACCTCACAAGTTGGTGCACGTTATATCGTACACCTCGCCTTTCGCATTGTTTCGAGATAGAGAGAGAGAGAGATATGCTGAATGAGTGTCTTTTTATGATGTCTGGTGCTAGATGTGGTCGATAGGTGGCGTGACGAGATGATGAACTGTAATAGACGTGAAATCCCATTCAAACTATGTCGAATATATGATATAGAGCCGTTTTGGCGATGATTCTCTGTTAGCCTCACTTTCCTTTTAATGTCTATTATGCTAAAATCAATAGTAACTAAGATCCGATATAATGCCGTTTTGATAATGTCTCTCTTTGTTTTTATGATAACATATTTGATATCTTCTCCTCTTTCATTTAACGTGTTACGCATAGTAATCTGACGAATAACGATGGAGATACGATATAGTGCCGTTTTGCGTTTGATTTTCATTTTAACATATTCGCTACCACCTTCCAATTACTTCGATACCTTACACGTTGTTGTACGTTGAGCTGTTTAGACGCTACAAGCTTAGTGTCCTTTTTGGCAATGACGCCATCTTTGTTTTTTTGTGTCTACATATTCGTCTGCCCCTCCCCTTTTCATCGATACCTTACACATTGTTATACGTCGAGCCGTTTAGACGCTACAAGCTTAGTGTCCTTTTGGCAATGACGCCATCTTTGTTTTTTTTGTGTCTACATATTCGTCTGCCCCTCCCCTTTTCATCGATACCTTACACATTGTTATACGTTGAGCCGTTTAGCCGGTAACAGCTTAGTGTCCTTTTGGCAATGACGCCATCTTTGTTTTTCTTTCTACGTGTTCCCTATCCCCTTCCCGTTCGTTTGACGCCTCATACGTTGCAATCGGACCAGTAGACACGGAGATACGTTCTAGTGTCGTTTTGACTATGGCGCCATCTTTGTTTTTTCATTCTACGTGTTCCCCGTCCCCTTCCTGTTCGTTTGTCACCTTATATGAAAAGAGTCAAAAATGACCAGAATGGACCTTAGCGATTTCTCCATGTTAATTTCCATAAGAGTTGCGCTCGAACTGTTACTGCCCCTTTACTTATGTCGTCGTTGATTCCCTTGCGTTGGCGTCGTTAAGTAAGAGAGGAAAGAGAACAAGATGAAGAAGAAAAAAAGATGAACATGTGAAAAGATGTATGTAGGCAATAGTGTATTGCTCAATGAGCTTGTTATGATGG